AGAGAGGGGTGTTGCAATCTCCACCTGTAATTGTGGAGAAATCGTGTCTATTTCTCTTTTCAGTTCTAACAGTTTTTGCTTCATGAATGTTGAAGCTCTGTAATTAGGTACATAAATGTTTAGGATTGTTATGTTGTCTTGATTAATTGATCCCTTTGTCATTGTATAATGCCCCCTCTTTATTCCTGGTAATATGCCTGCTGTGAAGTTACCTGTATTTGATATTAACATAGCTACCCCAGCTTCTTCGTGCTTAGTGTTGGTGTAGCATATCTTTTCCCATCCCTTCACTTCCAACCTACCTGGATCATTTTATGTATGTATGTATGTATGTATGTATGTATGTATGTATGTATATTTTTTAGGGGGAGAGAGAGAGGGCACATGAGTGGGGGAGGGGGAGAGGGAAAGTGAGAGAAAGAGAGAATTCTAAGCAGGCTCTGCACTGTCATTACAGAGCCTAATGCAGGGCTCAAACCCACAAACCATGAGATCATGACCTGAGCTGAAATCAAGAGTCAGACTCTTAACTGACTGAGCCACCCAGATGCCCCAGATCATTATATTTAAAGTGGTTTCTTTTTTTTGTTTGTTTAGTTTATTTATATTTGAGAGAGAGTGAGCCAGCAGGTGCCTGGGTGCACACAGCGGAGGAGGGGCAGAGAGAGAGAGAGAGACAGAGAGAGAGAGAAAATCCCAAGCAGGCTCCACACTTAGCACAAAGCCCGATGAGAGGCTTAATCCCACGAACCACAATATCATGATCTGAGCTGAAATCAAGAGTCAGATGGGGCTCCGGGGAGGCTCAGTAGGTTAAGCATCCGACTTCGGCTCAGGTCATGATCTCGCAGTTTGTGGGTTCGAGCCCCTCTGAGCTGTTTGCACAGAGCCTGGAGCCTGCTTTGGACTCTGTGTCTCCTCTCTCTGCCCCTCCCATGCTCATGCTCTGTCTCTCTCTGTCTCTCAATAATAAATAAATGTTAAAAAAAAAAAAAAAAGAGCCAGACGCTTATCCCACTGAACCACCCAGGCACCCCTAAAGTGAGTTTCTTATAGGCAGCATGTACTTAGGTCTTGGAGCAGGGGTTGGCAAACTTTGTCAGTATTAGGCCAAATAGTATATAGTTTAGGCTTTGTTGGCCATCCGGTCTCTGTCACAACTAATCAGCTCTGACTGTATTGTGAAAGCAGCCATAGACGATACATAAATGAATGAGTGTGGCTGTGTTCCAATAAAACTTTATTTATGGACATTGACACTGAAAATAGAATTTTATATGTCACGTGTCTTGAAGTAATACTCTTCAATTTCTTTTTAAACATTTAAAAATGTGAAAACCATTCTTAGCCTGCGGGCTGGACAAAAGCTGATAGCAAGACAGATTTGGCCTGTGGGCCATCGTTTGCCAGCCCTTGGTTGGGACCATTTACCTTTGATGTAATTACTGTGATGGTTGGGTTTAAATCTGCCAACTTGCTATTTATTTGTAATTTGTTCCATCTCTTTTGATTCCTTTTTCCCTCTTTTCCTACCTTCTTTTGGATTTATTGAGATATTTAGGATTCTGTTTCATGTCTACCATTGAAGCATACTTCAACAGCATACTTCTTTTTAAAATTTTCTTAGTAGCTGCTTTGGGTTTACGATATGCATCTTCAATTGATTACAAAATACTTTCAAGTAACATTGTACGACTTCACATAAGATGGAGATCCTTATGACAGTATGCTCCCATCTCTCCTCCTATCCTTTGAGCTATTCTTGTCATATAGATTACTTCTACTTGTCTTACGAGCCCCATAATATATTAGGAGTGTATGTGTGTGTATTTGCTTAAACAGTAAATGTCTTTTTTTTTATGTTTATTTATTTATTTAAAAAATTGTTAACTTTTATTCATTTTTGAGAGACACAGAGAGACAGAGCATGAGCAGGAGAGGGGCAGAGAGAGAGGGAGACACAGAATCCAAAGCAGGCTCCAGGCTCTGAGCTGTCAGCACAGAGCCCGATGCGGGGCTCAAACTCACAAACTGCGAGATCATGACCTGAGTTGAAGTTGGAGACCTAACTGAGCTACCTGGGCACCCCTGGAACTTGCAAGTCTTGATTTCGGGTTTGTGAGTTTGAGCCCCACATTGGGTGTAGAGATTACTTAAAAATAAAATCTTTAAAAAAATAAAGAGGGGGTGCCTGGGTGGCTCAGTCAGTTAAGTGTCTGACTTAGGCTCAGGTCATGATCTCATGGTTCGTGGACTTGATCCCCATGTCAGGTTCTGTGCTGGCAGCTCAGAGCCTGGAGCCTGCTTCGGATTCTGTGTCTCCCTCTCTCTCCACCTCTCCCCTGCTCACAATCTGTCTCTTTCTCTCTCAAAAGTAGATAAACATTTAAAAATTTTTAAATAAAAAAAAAACCCAGATATACAAAGGTACAGGAAACTGTGAGAGAGAAGTCACTCATTTGAAACAGACCCAGAATTGGCAGAATGATGGAACTAGCAGATGAGGGTATTAAAGAGCTGTTATAGATATATTCAGAATGCTCAAGGATATAAAGAAAAACCTGAGTGTAATGCAGAGAGAAATATAAAAAAGGAGCAAGTGGAACTTGTAGAGATGAAATATACAACATTTGAATGGGAAATTTTACTGGAATGGTTTATACAGATCAGACACTGCAGCAGAAGAGAAAAGAGAATTGGAAGACAGCAATAGAATAGAATAGACAGAATAGAATCCAAATGGAAGTCACAGTGGGAAAAAATGACTGACAATGGGCACAAAGTCTAAGTGGCCTGAGGAATAAAATAGCAAGTGGTCTTACATAAGTGATTGAAGTTCCATAAGGAGAGGAGAAAAAGGGAATAACAGGAAAAAAAAAAATATTTGAAGAAGTAATGGTGAAAACTTTTTCAAATTTGATGAAAATTATAAACTTGCAGATCTAAGAAACTCTATAAAACCCACGTAGGATAAACACACATACACACAAAGCACTTCAAGGCGCATTATAATCAACTGCTGAAAACCCGTGATAAAGAGAGAGTCTTCATGCAGCCAGAAGGCGGGGGGGGGGGGGGGGGGGGGGGGGGGGGGGGGGGGGGACGACACACGCAAGAATCAAATAACAGTGACAACAGACTTCTTGTCAGAGAGTATGCAAGCCAGGAGACAATGCACAAATGTGCTGAAAGGGAAAAACAACCTGTCAATCTAGTATTCTATATCCATCAAAAAGATCCTTCAAAGATCCACTAACAAATGTTTCATACAAACAAAAGCTGGGAGAATTAATTGCCAGCAGGCTTGCGCTTCAAGAAATGTTATTTTGGGGATGGGGGTGCCTGGATGGCTCAGTCAGAAGAGTGTGCAACTCTTGATCTTGGGTTGTGAGTTCGAGCCCCACGTTGGGTATGGAAATTACTTAAAAATAAAATCTTTCTGGGGCGCCTGCATGGGTCAGTCAGTTAAGCTTCCCACTTCGGCTCAGGTCATGATCTCATGGTTGGTGAGTTCGAGCCCCTGTCGGGCTCTGTGCTGACAGCTCAGAGCCTGGAGCCTACTTCGGATTCAGTGTCTCCTTCTCTCTTTGCCCCTCCCCACTCACACTCTGTCTCTGTCTCTCAAAAAATAAATAAATGTTTAAAAATTTTTTAAATGAAAATCAAATCTTTTTTAAAAGCAAAGGAAAAGTTATGGGAAGTTCTTCAGGTAAAAGTTCTTCCATCTAATGCTAGATGGAAACTTGGATGCACATGGAGCAACAAAGAATACCAGAAATAGTAGATGTGTGGGTAAATATAAAAGACATATTCCTCATTTTAAAAATCTCTTCATTAAAAAAATTTTTTTATGTTTATTTATTTTTGAGAGAAACAGAGTGTGAGTGGGGGAGGGGCAGAGAGAGAGGGAGACACAGAATCCCAAGCAGACTCCAGGCTCTGAGCTGTCAGCACAAAGCCCCACCCAGGGCTCGAGCTCACAAACCGTGAGATCATGACCTGAGCCGAAGTCAGTTGCTTAATCGACTGAGCCACCCAGGCACCCCTATCTGGTAATTTTTTATTGGATAACAGACATTTTGAATTTTACATTGTTGAATGTATTACTTTAAAGAGTCTTGGACGTTCTCTGGCGGGCAGTTAAATTCCTTGTGGATAATTTTGATCCTTTCCAGGCCTGTTTTTTAAAGCTGTTAGAGATCTGGCATAGTCTTTATTCTAGGGCTGACTTAACTCTATTTGTAATATGTTGTCCTTTGGGGTCTCTACTGAATGTCTCATCTGTTCGGTCAGATCTCGCTCCTCAGGCTGGAGAGATCTCAAAAGGTTCCCAGCCCTGTGCAAACCCTGGCAATTGTTCTGTCTTTGAAAGCGGTTCTTCTCTGGCCCCTTAGAGTTCCACCCTATGTGTACACAGATTGATATTCAGCCAAAGACTCAAGGGGACTCTGTGCACATTTCTGGAATCCTTTCTCTCTGTGCAGCTCCCTCTTCTTAGGTTCCCTGTCCCACAAATTTTAGCCATCTTGGCCTCTCCGGTCTCCACCTCTGCAACTCATGAGATTGCCAGACTGTTTGGGTTTCCCTTTCTGGCACCTCACTCTATAAACTAAATTCAGCCAGACAGCCTGGGCAACGATAAGTCTCACTTCGTTGCTTTTTTTTCCTCAGGGATTACAGTCCTGTGATGCCTATTGTCCTACGTCTTTAAATAGTTTTCTATATTCTGTCTAATTTTCTAGTTGTTGATGGTGGGAGGGTATTTTCAGGATATCTTATTCTCTTCGATCTGAAAGTGGAAATCTCTGGAAGCAGTATTAAACCCAGGGAGTCTGGCTCTAGAATCGGTGCTTCCAGCCTTCCCACTAGTCAGCAGTCACTGAGCCTTCTAGATGCTGAGGTCATTAAGAGTGGCACCACCAACAGGGTGCATGGCCACAGTGGGAGGGTGGCAGGGGGCGAGGGCCTCCAGACTGTAGCTCGCTCCTTCTCCCCCTCAGGTGGGCCTTCACCTTGATCATCATCTCTTCCTACACGGCCAACCTGGCTGCCTTCCTCACCGTGCAGCGCATGGAGGTGCCCGTGGAGTCAGCTGATGACCTGGCAGATCAGACCAACATTGAGTATGGCACCATCCATGCTGGCTCCACCATGACCTTCTTTCAGGTGGGGGCCTTTGAAGTTGCCCACGCTTGGTGTTGGTATCCCCATCGTGCATAGCTGCCCAGGGTGGGGCTGGGCAGGGCCTCCTGGGTCAGAGGGATTGATTGTCATGACAGTCAGGGAAGCTGAGAAGCAGAAGACACACTTGTGGGGTCACAGGGAGTGTTGCTGTCTGGCTGGAGAAACTGGACTTTCCCTCCAGGGAACAGAAGGGAGGCAGATATGGGATCTAATGTCGTATCAGTGCTAGATGGGCCAAATGGGGTCATGGAGGCTGCTAGAAGGGTCAGGCCTGGGAAAATGGGCCAGCAGAGAGGAAGGCAAGGCCCTTCAAGATGAAAGGTGTGCATCCCTGTGTATTATGGGGTGGTGGGAAAGAATCAAAGGAAAGCAAGCCCGGCAAGGAGGCTTGAGTGACCGTAGAGGCCCTAAATGCCAAGATAGGGCTGAGATTAGGACCTGGAAGTGGGGAGGTGGGAATAGTTACTGGGCAGGGGTGACCTGTTTAGAGCTGAAAGTTCCCTCTGGGGCAAACAGGGGTAGACTAATGGTCTGAGGGAGGCTGGAGCTGGGCAGGGGCCACTGGTTGAAGCATGAAGGAGAGGGGGTCTCGCTGGTGGGTTGTGGGACCAGTTTGCAGCTGGGAAAAATAGAAAAGTAGGTTTGGGGGGTGGCTGAGCCCTGGGGAGGGGCCTGTGGGGCACATAGGAAGAGCAGTGTCTGAACATCAGATCAGAGAAGGAAGGCGTGTGTCAGGAGTAGTGATGGGGGTGGTCATCCCCAGCTTGGCCTCCACAGGCCTCTCCCTCGGGGCTCTATCTGGGGCAGGGTGGGGCATTCGCCAGAAGGTTCCTGCAGGGCCTAAAGGAAGTAAATGGTCCTATTTGGCATGCTGCAGGTCTCCCCGACCCAGGCTGGGCCCTGGGTAAATTTGCGGTTGAGCTTCTGTGCATAAGGCCTGGGAGCGCTCGGAAGACAGGGCTGGGTGTCAGGCTGAGCCAGGCCCAGGGGTGGAAGAGAGAAGAGGGGCTAAAGAATAGACCATGGCTCCTTCTTCCCAAGCCTTCTGTCCTCAGGGCCCTCGCTGGCCTGGTGGGCGTGCAGATGGCTTGGACCTGACCTTGAGCAATCTGTCTTGTCCCTCTCCTCTGACTTTGGCTCTCCCTGCCTTCCTCTGGTCTCCTCACTCTTTCCAGTTGAGAGAGACTTCCTGGAGGGCAGGGGACAGGGTTCAGGGGAAATGCAGGGGGTGGAAAGACCCTCACCTGACTTCCCCGTGTCCCCTCCTCCTCCCAGAACTCACGGTACCAGACGTACCAGCGTATGTGGAACTACATGCAGTCGAAGCAGCCCAGTGTGTTTGTCAAGAGCACGGAAGAAGGCATCGCGCGTGTTCTCAACTCCCGCTATGCCTTCCTGCTCGAGTCCACCATGAACGAGTATCACCGGCGTCTCAACTGCAACCTCACCCAGATCGGGGGCCTCCTCGACACCAAGGGCTACGGCATCGGCATGCCACTGGGTATGGCAGCCTTGGGGCTGGGGAATGTGGAGGGGGCGCTGGGTATCCGAAACCAAGCCACGTGAGCCGGCCCGGGACTGGGCCAGGCCCTCCCTGTGGCAGGCCGGGTATGTTGTGCGTGGCCTTGGGCGGATGTCACCGCCATTCTGAGCCTCTGCACTCAACCCGCAAACATGGGCCTGGCAGCAGTCAGTTCCAGCCCTCCATGGCTGTTGGGAGAATCCCGTGTGACTGTGCACAGCCCAGTACTTGCAGGCCATGACACTTGCTCCCTTCCCCTTTGGCCCGAGGACCCCTTGAGGGGGAAGACCTGGGTTTATGTACCTTACAGTCTCTGCACGGAGCCCACAACCCAGCTCAGAGCAGGTGCTCAGAATATAGATGATGGAAGGGACGGGGGCAGGGATGGGTCTGCCTGGGAGACTTGGACATGCTTTTTCAGGGCTCAGTGCTGGAAACCCAGCAATTTTATCACCAAATCTTGACATTTTGACCTTTAAATCCATCTATCTGCTGATGACTGCTGTGTTAGTTATCTATTACTGCGTAACAAATGACCTCCAGTCTTAGCAGCTTCCCTGTGCCAGGGAAGCACGTAGCCCGGTGCTTCGGGGGGATGGGCTCTGGAGTCACACCGACCTGGATTCAAATCCCAGCTCCACACCACCCCCCCGACTCCGTGCATGACCTTAGGCAGGAATGTCACCTGCCTGGTCCAGAAAATGGGGGTGGTAACACCCGGTAATACCAGGATCATGAGGGACTTGAATTAATGTCCGTTAACCAAGGGTCTACAAACCCGGCACATCATAGGGGCTGCTGAATACTCATGACTCCACCTGCCCATGTCCCCAGTTTCTGGCACCTGGGAAATGCTGAAGAGGTGTGGTGACTGAGGAAATGACAGGACGGGACACGTGTGGGGTGTTTGGGACAGAAGGATGGTTTGAGGAGAGGATCCGAGGGTAGGGAGGAGAGAGGTGGCTGGAGATTCATTCACTGAGCAGATTGCCTAATGCCCTACTGTGTGTGGCACGCACTGTGCTGGAAGACCACAGCAGGGGGCCGCGAAGCCCCCAGCCTCCTGCCTTCGACCAGGGGCACAGACGGCAAGGACACAATAAACACGCAGCTTTATAAAGTGATGTCAGGTGGTGATAACTGCTCTGAGGTGAAGTAAGGGGAAGGGACTGACAGGGAGGGGGTGCTTGGTGCCATTTTAAGTGAAGGTCATTGGAGAAGACCCCTTGAGGAGGCACCATGCGAGCAGAGGCCTGAGTGACAGGAGGGAAGGAACGTTCCAGGCAGAGATCCTGAGGTGGGACTGTGCCTGGAGGACTCGAGGCACAGCCGGGAGGCCGGTGTGGCTGGCACAGAGAGCCTCGGGGGCAGCAGGAGCCTCAGGTGGCGGGGCCAGTGGACCCCAGATCTCGAGGCCGAGGGAAGGACCTGGTGCTCTCTGCATCGGGAAGCCATTGGAGAATTTTGAGCACGAGAGAGGCGAGCTCTATGATTGTTTCTGAAGTTGTCCCTCTGGCTGGTGGGGGGAGGTGAGGGGCACGGCAGGGAGGGGACGGTGACAAATGTGACATGAGGCCTAGTGGGGGCCCAGCCCAGGGTGGTGGCAGCGGAGGTGGCAAGCAGTGGTCAGACTTGAAGGTAGAGGGGGAAGAGCCCCGGGGATGCGGCGGAGGCAGGAGGAAAGGTCGTGGTGAGGGGGCAGTTGGGGGTTGGGCGGGCAGGGCTCCGCGGCCCCAACGGCCAGTCCACCCCCTTGTCCATCCGGTGCAGGCTCCCCGTTCCGGGATGAGATCACCCTGGCCATCCTGCAGCTTCAGGAGAACAACCGGCTGGAGATCCTGAAGCGCAAGTGGTGGGAGGGGGGCCGGTGCCCCAAGGAGGAGGATCATCGAGCTAAAGGTCAGCTCCCCCACACCCCACGCCCATCCCGAAGCCCTCTAAAGCCCCCGTGCCCATGCAGCCCCCACCCTGTGACTTCCCCCTCGACTCCCAGGTCTGGGCATGGAGAACATTGGTGGCATTTTTGTCGTGCTCATCTGTGGCCTCATCATTGCCGTCTTCGTGGCGGTCATGGAATTCATATGGTCCACACGGAGGTCGGCAGAGTCCGAAGAGGTGAGGAGGCTGGCAGAGGGCGTGGGGGAGAAGGGGAGTGTCAGGGGCGGAGGGGCATGGAGACTGTGGCATTGGTAGCCTTCCTGGAGGGGGTCTAGGAGCAGTGAGGGGCCAGGAGCAGGGCGCAGAGAGGATCCGAGAGCCCCTAGGGGCAAAGGGGGTCCGAGGAGAGGTGCGTATGGACAGAAGGGAGAGGGAAGCCGGGCGTGAGGAAAGCCAGAGGAGGGAAAGCGGGCATGGGCAGAGGTGAGGATGCAGGGGAAAAGAAGGGCTGGGGAGAAGGAGTGGGGAGGAGCAGGGGGTAAAGCAAGGAGAACTGAGAAGTGACAAAAAGGCAGCGGGTGCGGCTGGAAGACAGCAGGCTTGCTGGCTGGTCCCAGCTCCACGGGGCCGGTGCTGCCCAGTGACACTCCTCCATTTCCACTCGTGCCCCTTTGCTCCCTCACGGGTCCACCTCCGCCTCTCCAGGCCCCAGCCCCCTCCCCCTCCTCACCTTGGCTGTTGACCTTACTTCCACTTCCCTGAGAAAAGCGGAGGAGTTAGAGGAGAGCATACAGACCTCTCCACATCCAGGCACCTGTCTTTCTCCACTTGCTCTGTCAGTTACTCCGAGGGAATACCCATAATTCCAGCTGAGGCACCCTCCACTGTGCCCCCATCTCCTCTCTCGCCCCCCCAAGGACATCCCTCAGCGGTTCTTTGCTCCCTCCGCCCACCATCAGTTTCCTCCTCTCTGTTGGATCAAGGCTGTCAGGATACAGACGTGCTATCAGCTTTCCCATCTTCCAGAAATTTCTCTTGACCCCGCTTCCCTTCCTGGCCACCACCCCCACTCCTCCCCTAACCGTAGAACCTTGAAAGAGTGTATCTTTCTGCTGCATCAGTTCCTGTGCTACATCTAGTCTCCGACACACTCCCATCCACATCCCCACTGAAGCTGCTTGTCACCAGTGACCCAGGCCCAAATCCAGCCCAGGTCTCAGGCCTCGTCATACGTGAGGTAGTGATGGGCTTTGGCACAGCTGAGCTCTCGCCTCAAAACCCTCTCTTCATGCTTACGCCACCCCCCCCCCTTTCTCCTTCCTCTGTGGCCCGTCCTTTGTTGAGGGGTTCTAGGGCTCCGTCCTGGACTCTTCTGTGTCTTTCTCCACCCCTTGGTGACCCCATCCAGCCAAATGGTTTGTAAGACCACCGCTATACTGATGACCTTTATTAGCTGTCTATTACCACGTAACATTCCTAAGATTCAGCGGCTCAAAACAGCAAACTTACATCAGTTTATAGAGCAGCTTAGCCGGGTGGTTCTGGCTGCCAAGGTCTCTGGTGAGGTCATGGTCATGATGTTGGCCGAAGGCTCGCCTGGACCCAGAGGGTCCACTTCCAAGGTGGCATATTGTCTCCAAATGTACTTGCAGGATTTTGATTTATGGAGGTGACTAAGTGATGACACGGAGAGGCCAGTGCCACCAAAAGAAGATTTTTATTACATTTTCCAGGAGGGGGTGATGCCACCCACGTAGGGCCACAGGGGAAGCACCAGGTTTTGGTCAGGAACCGGAGCTGAAAGACTAGGCCACAGACGGCACTGGGGCACCGGACAGGCAAAACAGCTTAGAACTGGCTAGTGTGGATAATGTCGGTGGGCTTAGGGCTAGAGGGTGGTCTGTAGCTGTGTGTACCTGGTCCTGGGTGATTTAGGGCAGCCTGGTGTGAGAGTCAGCTTAAGCTGGAGGGTGGGGGTACAAGCTGGGATCGGTTGGTTTGCATATGAGAGGTGGGCTCTCAGCCCTCTGCTATCCCTAAGAATCTAGCTGTGGAAAGGCCCCTCTCTCCCTGACCAGCAAGGTTTTCTCTGTGTCAGAACATCCTAGGATAGAATAAAGAACATGGGGAACATACACACCCAATGGCAGCTGACAGGAGGCCTCAGTTCCTCCCACAGGGACCTCTCCGTAGGGCTCCTTGGGTGTCTTCACGCCGTGGCGGCTGGGCTGGCTTGCCCCAGAGCAAGTGATCCAAGGGCCAACCCAGCAGAAGCCACCAGCCATATTCTGTTGGTCACACAGCAGCCCTGATATAAAGGCAGAGGGGACCACACAGGGTGGGAACACTGGAGGGCAGGACTCTAGGGAGCCGCCTGCCATAACCCCCAGTGAGCATCCCTCACAGGGACTTCTCCCTGGACCCAGGGTCTGTGAACTCTGATTTTCCCATGGATGTCTGACAGGTAACCCACTTAACATCACATGGCCAAGGCAGAGCTCCTGCCCACGCACCAGGCAATGTTGTCATTCTCCTTGCTCAGACCAAGATGTGATTACCCTTGGCTCTCCCCTCTGTCTCATGCCTCCTTTGGATCTCTCAGCCAGTCCTCTCGGCTCCACCTTCAAAATACACCCAGAATCCAGCCCCTTCTCACCTCCTTGGCCACTGCCACTCAGCTCGCCCTTGGCCTCCTCCATCTGTTCTCAGCACAGCACCAGGGAGATCCTGTGTACAGCAGTCCTCTACTTAAAGCTCCCCAGTGCCTCCCACCTGACTCAGAATAAAAGCCAGACCCTTACAGTGGCCTGTGGGCCCCACTGCTCTTCGACCTTGTCTTCTCTCTCCCCTGGGAACCTCACTCCAGCAACCCTGCCCCTGCTTGTGGTTCCTCCCACAAACCACCCGGTTCCCTTTCGGCACCTTTGTCCTGCACAGCCTTGCAGTCGTACTGAAGGTCTTCCTGGTGCGTCTTCCCTAATATCCTACTCCAGATGCAGTATCGCTCCCCACCTCTTGCCAATTTTATTCTCCCCAGCACTCATCACGGGCTAACATACTCCCTGCATTTACATTTTTGTTAGTTTTGTCTCTGCACTGGAATACAACCTCCACGAGGGCAGGGACTTCCTGTTTTGATCCTTGCACACAGCAGGCGCTCAGTAAATAGGTCTTGCCATAGTTGGTAGCATGAGTTAGAGGCAGAAGATGGAAAACAAGCAGGAGGCAGTCAGAGACTTTGGAATGACAAGAAAGGGAAAGACAGGGGCCTGGATAGGAGGCGAAGGCAGGCTCAGGGAGAAACCCGAGGACGGAAGCAGAGAGAGAGGCTGAGAGGTGAGACAAAGCACGCGAAAAGCGGAGGCTAAGAGGGGAGGGGAGGGGAGGAGTGGAGCCCGGGGGCGCGGGGTGAGGGGGGTCGAGGCAGAGAAGGGAAA